CTCTCTCTCTCCTCTCTCCCGGGGGGGCGCGTCCTGAGGGCCGTCGCCGACGATCTCGTCGCCCATGCGGCCCGCGGCCTGGGCGGGGGGGGGGCGCGGACTCCCTGGGGCTCCCGGAACCCTGGATCTCTCTCGGGGTGCGTTCTGACCAGGATTTCGAAGCGAATCCAGCCGCGGGTAGCTTCCAGACCCTGGGCCTGGCGGCGGGCCCTTTGCTGTGGGAGAGAGAGAGAGAGAGAGAGAGAGAGAGAGAGAGAGAGAGAGAGAGAGAGAGAGAGAGAGAGAGAGAAGAGAGAAGAGGAAGAGGAGAGAGAGAGAGAGAGAGAGAGAGAGAGAGTAGAGAGAGAGAGAGAGAGAGAGAGAGATAAGAGAGAGAGAGAGAGAGAAAGAAAGCAAAAAAAAAGAAAGAGAGAGAGAGAGAGAGAGAGGAGAGAGAAGAGAGAGAGAGAGAGAGAGAGAGAGAGAGAAGAGAGGAGGAGAGAGAGAGAGAGAGAGAGAGAGAGAGAGAGAGAGAGAGCCGAGCCTCGCCGCGGGCCGCGGCGGCGGCCGCGGCCGCCGCGGCGGCGGCGGCCGGGCCATCCGCCAGCTGGCCAGCGCGCCACCGGCCGGGCCCCCCCCGGCGCCACAGAGCCGAGGGGGACAAGTGGGCAAGGAAAAGCGGTGGAGAGGAAGAGAGGAAAAAGTAAAGCGAGACGACGGGAAAAAAGGCAACGAAAGATGGAGTGGAGACGACGAGAAGGCATGAGAGAGGACGGACGGAGGAAAGGAGTCGAGACGGAGGGTGGGGCGGGAACGGGAGATGGAGGCAGAATGGGAAGGGGGGGGTAATGAAGAGGAGGGGGAGGAGGAGGGGGAGGAGGAGGGCGATGAGGAGGGCGATGAGGATGATGATGATGATGATGATGATGATGATGATGATGATGATGATGATGATGGGGAGGAGGAGGAAGATGAGGCATGAGGAGGAGGAGGAGGACCAGGAGGAGGAGGAGGCCCGATGAGGAGCAAGAGGAGAAGAGGAGGGAGGTCGGAGGGATGGATGGAAGGAGGGGAGCGGGGAGAGGGTGGGAGAGGAAAAACCCCGAGGAGAGCAGAGGAGGCGGCAGCGACGCGCGAGAGAGCAAGGAAGGGCCAGGGAGGAGAGAGGAGAGCAGAGGAGGCACACGAGGAGATGTGGGATTCGAAGCTTGAAATTTCGAAGGTTCCGAAATTGGAAGTGGAAGAATGACGGAAGAGACCGAATGCGCTGTGAAAAGTGAGGGGGGGCACGCAGGGAGAAGGGGAAGAGGCGAGCGTCAGAGGAGAGGGAGGGAGTGAGGGAGGGGGCAGCCAGGGGTCGGAGGCAGGAGCCTAAGAGGGTGGGCCATCATTCTCCCCCCCCTTTCCCCTCCGCCGTCTCCCTCCTCCTCTCCACCTTCCACCACTTCCACCTTCCACCACTTCCAACCCCCAGCGGCCTTTCCTCCACCCTTTCATCGTCCATCCTCCCCCATTATCCTTCAACCCCTCTCCCCTTCCTCGGGGTTTCACTCCTCCGCCCCTCCATGTAATCCCTCCTTCCTTCTCCCTCCCCATGCCTTTCTTGAAACGTTCTTGATGTTGTGTTGCTTCCCTCTATCCCAGCCCTGATCCCCCCCCCTCTCCCATCGCAAATCGGCGGGGGATGCAAGGAAGGAGCGCTCTCCCTCCTTCCTTGAAGCGTCAGGTCCCAATCCCAATCCTTCCAGCCTCCCAATCTCCTTGTCCCCCATCCTCCGTCCTCGATCAACCTTCCAGGCCGCGTGCCAAGCACGAGTTGCGAGGGGAGAAGGAGAAGACGAAGGAGGGAGTGGTAGAGGAGGAGGAGGAAGGGGAAGGAGGAGGCCAGGGAGCGAGGAGGGGGGAGGAGGTCGGAGGAGGGGGTAGACGAGGAGGAGGAGGACGAGGGGAGGCGGATAAGGATATACATGGTGGCGGTCAAGTAGAGCAGAGGCGAACCAGTACCCAGCTGAAAACTCAAGAAGCACAACACATATTAGAAAATAGAAGCAGAACGACAACCTCACGTAGGAGAAAACTGTATGCCATCATGCTTACATATTGATTCTATTAAGTAGACCCTGGCAGACACCAAAGCGCCTACATGGTCAGAAATCCCAATCAGGTGGGGTTAGTGTCCAAAGGCAGTTCATATACGCTGAGCCGCGCCATTGTACGCTACATGAACAGAGTTCTGCGCGACTACGAGCCCTTCCTGAATCGCGCCCACTGGGAGAAGATTCGCGAGCTCATGCGCCTCCTCCCGCAGAGCTGGGCCATGGCAGCGATCAGGACTTGGACCAATGGCTGGCTGACCTCAGCCCGCATCGTGCACCCCGACGGCCTGCTGCGTTGCCGCTCCGGTTGCAGCCGACCTGATCGGCTGGCGCACTACCTCGTGCGTCCGCGGCTCCGCCACGCCACGGGTCGAGCGCATGGTCGGGACCCCCCCTTCTCGCCCCCTGCACGCTTGGGCATTACGGGGCCCAAGCCCGGAAGGTTTTAGGAGATGTTCGTGGCTTACCAGATCTGTAACATAACTATCCAGGGTGCGCGGTGGCATCGTTCACCCCAGAACTTGTTGCTTCGCTTGCGGCGGCTGCCGTGCGATCTCTGCGTCTCTCGCGCCCTGCGCAGTCGCTGCAGAAATGGAGCCCACCGCCGAGGGTGCTTATTGGCTCCACTCGCATCCACCGTATTTCATCGACGTCCGACCCCAGCTCGACTTCCGATTCCAGTTCCTCGGATCCTGAGAGTGGTGCACTACGCGGCGCCCTGCCCTTTCCTGTTCCTGCTGAGTGTCCTGAGGGAGGTGAGGCTGCGGGCTCGTCTTCGTCGGATTGCTTGCCCGCTCCAATTGAGTGCTCCCCGACGATATCGTTGCCGCGTGGACCAGGAGTTGGGGGCACCCTCAGATTGCCTCATCCAGAACCTTGCAGGGGTCAAAGTCTTGCTCCGACCCCTGCCCAGACGTGCTCAGTTAGCACGCAAGTCCCGTCGTTGGTGTCGGGCTCATTGTCGCCACCAGCTGGAGGCAAGTCGCTTTCCTCGTCGGGCGCTTGCACTGGCGTTAGATCGCAAGTCCCGTTGTCGTGTTCGGGCTCATCGTCGCCGTCTCCTGCTGGATTCGTCGTGGTGTCTCCCACGACAGGCGTTCGAATGCAAGTCCCGTTGTCGCGTTCGGGTTCGCCGCCGCCGCTTTGCGGATGCCTCGATGACGGCCTGCTGGCCCCTGGCGTTAGATCGCAAGCCCCGTTGTCGTGTTCGGGCAACACGTCGCCACGTACTGAAGTTTCTGGCGTCTGCCCCTCGACTGCGGTGGCGACTTGCGGACCGATTGACTTGTCGACGCCGGCTGCTGCGCGCGCACCGATTGCTCCGTCGGCGGCGACCTCAACCAGTGGATCAGCGGCGTCGTCGACCCCCTGGGCAGTAGGATCCCCCCCTGTCGCCGCACCCCTTCCTGCCCGAATCCTCTCTGTCCCTGCTCGCATGATGCTGTCTAGAAGTATGTACTCCACCTCCCCTGTGTCTTCCGCGTCATATCATTATGTCGCAGCTCATACCATCCCCACGCCTTCCCCGATCGTCGCTGGCTGCGACCGAGCTGGCGGTGCGATCCCTCCCTCTCCTTGTCCTTCGCTCCCGAGGCCTGATAGTGCCCATACGTGATCCCCGCCTTCTCCTTCATCGATTGTGTCTTATCGCTCGCCTCGGTCTCCCTTCCCGCTCCTTGTTGCCCCGATTGAAATACAACGGCCTCCGTGCGCATCCACGGCTGCGCCGACTACGTGCGCAGCAGGAGGTGCGCCCACGCCCGCCCGAGGCGCCGCCCCCACGCCCCTCCCCCAGCCCGAGGCGGCTGCTCGGGCCAGTGGGTAGGCAATACTGGGACTCTCCCCCCTTACGTTCGTCTTCTCCTCCTCCTCCTCCTCTTCTTCCTCCTCCTCCTCCTACTCCTCCTCCTTCTTATCATCAGCAGCATCATCATCAACGTCGTTGTCGTCGGCGTTGTTGTCGTCATCGTCGTCTTCATCATCTTCATCATCATCAGCATCAGCAGCGGCATCATCAGCATCATCGTCATCAGGATCAGCATTATGACCATTCGCAAGAGCATCGTCATAGTCGACATCACCATCATCAGCAGCAGCGGCATCAGCAGCATTATCATCATCGTCGTTATCATATCCATCAGCAGCATCTGCATCAGCGACAGCATCAGCATCACCATCATCAGCCTCATAAGCATCATCATCATCAGCAGCAGCATCATCATCATCCGATTTCATCCCCCCCCCTCCTCCCGTTTGACGGGTTGAAGGCATATTGGTAGATTCTCTGTGAGTCTTGTCTCGGGTTTCTTGATGGCACCTTGCGGCCCTCTGGGGAAGGGACCCGGGGGGCCGTTTTCGGGGGCCTCGGGGAGGCCTCTGGGAGAGTCTTGGGAGAGCCTCTTGAAGGCCTCTCGGGGGCCTATTGGGGTTTTTTGGGAGAGTCTTGGGCGGCTGGAAGGGGCATGTTGGAGGTCTTGGGGGCCACGTTAGCGGGACAGGCCCTCCACTTCGAGTTCCCCTTCTTCGGCCCCTCTTGAAGACCTCTTGGGTGCCTTCGGGGCCATCTTGGGGCGATATTGGGTACCTCTTGGGCCGTCTTGAGCAAGGCAAGAACGCGACAATCCTATTATCCAGATAATTTTCTGTATATAAAGAATTGCCTCTGGAGGACCTCCTGGCCGTCTTGTTGGAGCCTTTTTTTGGAACGTCTCGAAAGCATCTTGGACCGCCATGCGATCATATCGCGCTATCTTGCAACTCTGTCAGGGTGGTCGGTGGCTGTCTTGGGACCATATGGGAGCAAAAAAACGCGGGTGATCCAAACTAGGGTGGGGCGGCGTTCAGCTCGTGCGCCGCAAGGGGCGGGTGAACCGCTACAGAATCCCCGCCTGGCAACAGACAGTCATTCCAACCCGCTTCAGCGAGCCGAGGGCACGGCGGCGGACAGCACAGGGGGCAGCAGCTGCAGCACACGGGACCTCGACGAGCAGGGCAGTGGGGCGTCTCTGTGGGCCGCGGCCGTCCGCGCCTGCGCCTCCCTCGCGCAGCCCCTCGCCCTCGCCGCGACGGTGGCGGCCGGGAAGGCGAAGCTAGGGGCCGCGCTCGCCGCCAAGAAGGGGACCCTCCTGGCCGCCAAGAAGGCCGCGGCCACGCTGAAGGCCCTGATGCAGAACCCGGCGAGGCCGCTCGGCCTCCGGGGCCGCGGTGTGGATCCCCGACCCGTGTCTGCTCCTCGTCCTCGCCCCTGCCTCAGCGAAACTGCGTCACGTCTACCACGGGTGCCGTTTGCCACCCACGTGTGCAGCTTGTTTTCCTACCGTGCGGCAGGCTGAGACACTTGGAGGCTCCGTCAAGTGGTCCGCTCCCATCTTCTCAGGGTCCACTCCGATCCGATCCGATTCGATTTCGGTTCAGGCCGTCCCGATCCGATTCGATGCGGCCCGATGCTTGCATGGCGCTGTTGTGCGTTTTGGCTGCAGCCGATCCGATCCGATTTCGACTCCGCACCGATGCAGCCCGATCCATTGCACATGTCGATTCGATCCGAATTCCCGATTCGATGCTGATTGATCCCGTCTTCTCCGTCCAAAATCCGGCGAGGCTGTTCAAGCGGCGCGTGTTCAGCCCCTTCGAGGTGCTGCGTGGCCATTTTCGTCGTCAGTTGCGTCGTCGTCGTCGCCGCCGCCCTCGTCGTCGTCGTCGACGTTGACGTCGACGTCGTCGTCATTGTCGTCGTCGTCGTCGTCAACGTCGTCGCCGCCGTCGTCGTCGCCGCCGCCGTCGTCGTCGCCGCCGTCGTCGCTGACGTCGTCGTCGCCGTCGCCGTCGCAGACGTCGTCGCCGACGTCGTCGTCTTCGTCGTCGCCGACGTCGCCGTCGTCGTCGCCGACGTCGTCGCCGACGTCGGCGGCCCGCTCGAGGTGCTGCGCGGGCACTCGGCGGGCGGCCCCCTCGGCGCCCTGCGCCACGAGCTGGCCACCGGGCGGGGCGCCCGCGGGCTGTCCTGGGACCTGCTGGCCCCGTGGGCCACCAACTGCGCCGTGGCGGTCTGCACGGGAGCACTCTTTCCCAGACCCCCTCGAGTTATGAGAAAATCACGACCGGAGGTTTTTCCCTATTTTTGGCCTCTGGGGGCCCTTGCCGGCCCTCGGGACCGTCAGAAAACCACTCAGAACGAAAAACCGGTCCCGGGGAATGGGTCGAGACCTCGGGGGGTCGACCTTGGCTGCCCCGATGCGCCCGTTTCGAGGCGCAGCACTTTTTTTACGTCGCAGCGCGGCAGAGGCAGTCCGCACTCTCGCTCAGCAAAGCCGGGCTTCGAGGCGCAGCACGTCGTGCCGTGTGTCGAAGCGTCCGTGCCAACACGTTGCGTGTTGGCTCAGCGTATTGGCCCGCGTTGTGGGCGAACGTATCGCGCCAGACCTACGTTTTCGGTCAACGTGCTGAGCTCCGTATGACGTGTCGCGTGTTGCGTATCAGGGCAGCTAAGCATTTAACCGATCCCTACCCCCACTTGGCGGCGAGCCCGGGGGGGGAAGTGAGGAGGGGCGGGCAGTCTCAGAGGGCTCGGGAGTTCCCCGGCCTTCTGAGAAGTTTTTGGAGCCTTCCCCGAAGACACAGGAGACTTGTCAGAAGGCCGAAGCGCCTATGAGAAGCCCCGCCGCCTTCTGAGAAGGCCTTCTCCTTCTCACTTCCCCTCCCCAACTGGGGTGGTGAGATGGTGGGGATCGGGCTGGGGATGGAGATGGGGTTAGGGATCGGTTCAACGATACTGAGCACTGGGGGAAGAAAAAATGGCATATGCATAAACTGTCAGAGGTCCGCGCAGATTTCCTGGATCGGCGCTGGACTCCCCCTCGCGACGCCTCTGGCGCCGCCCCTAGCGCGCTCCGCGCGCCAGGGAGGGGGGTCCAGCACCGATCCACGAAATCCGCGCGGACCTTCAAAAGCTTTCGTTTATGCAGTTTCCTCTTCCTAGAGGTCTGCATGTTTCACACGTACGGCACCGTGAGCTCGGCGCTGCGGCGTTTGGGCGGCCGCTGGGAGGCGCGACCTTTTCCAGGAGGAGGAGAAGGAGGAGGAGGAGGAGGAGGAGGAGGACTGGACTGGACTGGACTGGAGTGAATGCCACATCCAGTCCAGTGCGGGGCCGGGAGAATGGCCGAGGTGCGGGGCCGGGAGGATGGCCGAGTTGGTAACCAGCCATAAGGTGCGCGACCGTCCCAGACCCCCCCGGCGCCACAATGAATGCGGAAGATCCCGCTACGCCCCTGCGCTCCGCGCGGGAAGAGAATCAAAACGCTTGGCCCCAGGTGCCAGGCCCCTGACCGAAGGCCAAGGGGCACCACGGCTCCACCCCTCGGTCCATCCAGGCCTCGGGGTAAGGACCCCAGCTTTCCGAGAGGAACAGGAGGAGGAGGAGGAGGAGGCGAAGGAGCAGGAGGAGGAGGAACAAGGAGGAGGAGGAGGAGGAGGAGGAGAAGGAGGAGGAGAGAGGAGAAGGAGGAAGGAGAGGGAGGAGGAGGAGGAGGAGGAGGAGGGGAGGAGCGGAAGCGGAGGGGAGGAGGAATGAGGAGGAGAAGGGCGGAGGAGGAACGAGGAGGAGGAGGAGGAGGAGGAGGGGGAGGGGGAGGAGGAGGAGGAGGGGGAGGAGGAGGAGGAGGGAGGAAGGAGGGAACGAGGAGGAGTATGAGGAAGAGGAGTAGGAGGAGGAGGAGGAGGAGGAGGAGGAGGAGGAGGAGGAGGAGGAGGAGGGAGGAGGAGGGAGGAGCAGGAGGAGGAGGAGGAGGAGGAACGAGGAGGAGCAGGAGGAGGAGGAGGGGCCTGCTTGCTCGCGCGCTCCTCTTCGCAGTCTTTGCCCAGCCGTTAGTGGGCCCAGCCGTTGGGACGGCTGGTCTCGGCTCGGGATGTTGAAGGGAGCGACGCCTGGGTAAGGGCATGAGCATCTGGCTCGGGCGGACTCCCTGGGTCAACGTCGAGGGCGCGGAAGTAAACGCATCGGCTACGCGTAAGAGTGACCCTTCGCCGGAGTGACCTTTGGTGTGGGCCCAGAGGGGCCCCCCGATCGTTGAACGCAAAGAGGTGGCAGCGGCTTGCGCGCCCAGGTTTGGCCACCCCGCGTCCCCCGTTAAGTCGCGCACCATCGGCTACGCAGCCAGGACATGACGAGTTAATTACTGGATTTCACCAGTGCTTAGGAGAACGCGCGTCCGTTGTGATATATCGCCTGGTGGCCTCAAAGAGGCCCCCGCGGCAGTTCAGCACCTATCGTATCCAGGGTGTTGATTCGCTTCGTGTTTCTTTTCCCTTCCTCATTCTCCTCGTCCGCCGCCGCTTTAAAGGCAACAGCTTTGCATGAGGTTTTTCATAGACGCGGAGCGTCATGGGGATCGGGGCACGTGCTGGCTGGGCCAGCGTCGACTCCGCCCCTTGCGCGCCGCGTTGACCCGACACATTTGAAGATTAGCGGACTCTCCTCCGCTGGGGGTCGCATCGGGCCCAGGATATGCGAGAATAATTCGGGGACTTCAGTTCTTACTCCTCTCCCTTCCTCGTCTCCCCGTTCCTCCTCCCTCTCTCTCTCCCTCCCCCTCCGTCTCGTATCCGATGCGGTGGAGTGAGGCACTCCTCTGCCAGTCGTGGAACATTCGGGACGGCCCATGCGTGATTATTTTGTGGCAGGTGTCGCCGTGGAGCTGCCCGGCCCCCATGGAGTGCACGCCGCGTTTCATGAAGGTTTCACGTTATCCATCGGTCCCCCCCTCTCCCCCATTCCTCCTTTTCCTCCTCCTCCTTGCCCTCCTTCTCCCTTGCGGATGCTTCCTTCGTGCCGGACTGGGGATATGTCTGGCGTGCAGCCTAATATTTGCTAACACTTGCTTGTTGGCAGGTTCTTCCCCCGAGTCCGGGGCCAGTGCAGGATGTGAACCACCAGCTGGCGGCCGAGCATGGCGCAGACAGACTGTGTCTAAACGGTTCGTGATCGTCTTCCCATGGCATGGCAATGCCAGATTGCGGCAGGGATGAAGCAAGCAGATGATTCGTGTTCCGATGAGATGGCTTGATATGACACAAAAAAATATTCTTACCCTGGGTCACTCCTGCATGTATCTGGGCCTCCCAGATGGGGCCCGAATAGGTAGCGTCGGAGGATCGCGCCGTATCGCCGATGCATTGGCGATGCGGCTCGATGTGGAGCCCGATTTTCTCCACGCACACGGCGCCGATGCATCGGCGACGTCGTCGATGCATTACCGATGCATCGCCGATGCATTGGCCATGCGGCGCGAGGAGGCCTCTAGTGTAGCCGAGTCGAGGGCGCTAAAGTAAACGCAGTTCATCATGATCCCTCCTCCCTCCTCACTTCCTCCTGCATCGTCCTGCGTCAGGTTCGCGTCGTGTCGACTGACGGCGAGCGACCCCGACGCCGACGTTCAACATTGGACGCCGCTGGCGACCCAGAATCGGTCGATGTTGAGCGATCTGACGTTTCGGAAACGGCCGATCATTCAAGATGTGACGATCCCCACGCACGGTATCAGAAGCCAACGCCGAAGTCGGCACGACACGAACCTGCCGAGGGTTGGAGCCGGCTGGGAGTCTGAGGTGGCCCACCATTGGTTCCGGCCAGCTGGAAGGGGGGCAGGTTCGAGGGGCTCTAGGGTCGGGAAGGTTCTTTGCCTTGTTCGGTCCCTGGGGCCGTTTTCGGGCCCCAGGACCGTCAAAAACAGATCCCAGTGAAAGACTGCACCAGATGGACCCCGCAAGGGGTCCAGGAACCGATTTTGAGCGGATTTGGCCTTATCCCCCCTTCTTGATTGATTTTCTGGGGGCACATCCAGTTCAGACCCCCTGGGCCGCCTCAAAGTCGAGGGCGCAAAGGCAAAGGCAGTTCACCCTCTGCCCCCTTCCTCTTGTGTCCTCCTCAGCCTCCAGGGTGCGAAGATTATCGCGCATCGAGCTTTCTGCAGCAGAAACTCACACAGACCTAGGTTCCGCCTGATAAGGAGAGCGATGATGAGCGGAGCCGCGCTGGCCTTGCCAGAGGGGGCCCACAAAACCAAATGGAGGCTGACAGACACTGGCAAGGCCTGGAGACAACGCTATGGTTTTTCCGCAAACGCTGCTTGCACTTAAGGGTTGTTCTGTCTTTTCTGAGGAGCTGGGCCTGATTGTCGGTTCGGCAGCTGTGTTGTCGCCGTCGCCGCCCCGTCGCCGCCTCGTCGCCGCCGACGTCTATATTGTCCATTGCGCCGCCTCGTCGCCGCCCGTCGTCTGGGCCTGGTTGTCAGTCCAGCGGCTATGTTGTCGCCGTCGCCGCCTCGTAGCGGCCTCGCATATTTGCACCACAAAGATTGCATCACATAGAATGTCCTTTCCAAGAAATAATTAGATCTACCTCCCCCCCTCCCCAGATTTAACCGTTCACCTTTTCGTTTTGCAGTTTACACACGATTCTGCCCCATCGTCAATCCGAAATATGACTCCTACCATCCCAGCCACGCTGGTATCCCCCCCACCATCCTCTGCTGCCAAAAACACAATGCGCGCACGCTTGTTTGTCCAAAATCGTCCGTTTTCAACAAGCCTTCGGGCGACGTGCAAACGCGCGCGTCGTCGCGCGCGCAAGCCATAATCCTGCAAAACCCCAGGTTTCGTAAGGATTTCAGAATCGAGTGTCCCGCAGACACAAGACCACACGGTTTCGCAACACGAATTTTCAAAAAAAATTGCGCTCGCGCTCTTGCGAGTTCTTCGGAAAGATATAGATGAAAAATTGTTGTTTCCATCTGTTCCTTACATACTACCACACGGGCCTCTCGCGCGCGCATGTCGAAATCGTTCGAACGCCTTTTGCGCGCGTGCTGTCGCAAGAACCCCTTGCAACAAATGGGACGAAGTGCACGCGCGCGTCTTCGCGCGCGCAGCCGAAATCGTTCACAAACCTCAGGGTCCAGAGGGATTTCAAACCGAGCGTTCCGAAAACATGTTCTTGATCAAAAAATGTTTGCAGCATCAGTTTTCAAAAAGCCCGCGCTCGCGCGCCTGCAATATCTTAAGGAAACTATAGGTGCTCAACATGTTTATTGCGTTCGGCCAAAGGGGCCTTTCGCGCCGCATTTCGAAATCATTCGAACACCCTTGCAAGCGTGCGTGTTTGGGGGGGGCACGATCCGTTCCAAACAACACCATGTGGGCCACTCGCGCGTCGGCCGCGAGCGCATGTCGAACTCCTTCCACAACCTCCATCACCGACGCGAGGACGCCGTCATCGTCGTCGGCATGATCAACATCGGCGCCATATCTGGCCGTGCCGTCGTCGTTGTCATCATCGTCACCAGCATCGCTACTATCATCACCGTGTCTACCGTTGTCGACGTTGCCATGATACCGCGCCCGCCAAAGTCGCCGACTCGCACTCAAGTGCTCGCTGGGAAGCACCCGGCGGTCAGCGCCACCTCGGCCGCGTCGGTCGCGCCAAATTGGCTGGCCACTGCGCGCGCGAGCATGCGCGGGCAAGCGCGGCCGCAGAGATGCGCCAGCCAACACGAAGCACTCCGCGCAATCGCCGCCGCATGGGTTTTACCAAGCTGCGGGTGGGTGGGTGGGATGATTGCGCGAGCACTTGAGTTGACAACTGATTGCGAGAATGGGTGAATTCCTTTTTTCTTAAACAAATAGGATCCACCACCCTCCCGAAGGCGGAGTTATCGGTTCACCTCTTCGCGATGCAATTTACGTATGATTCTGCCCCAATCGTCCATCCTAAATATGAACTCGTACCATCCCAGCCAAGCCGGCATCCGCCCTCCCCCGCCATGCTCAGCAAAAAATATTGTGCGCGCGCATACGTTTATCAAAGTTCTTCAGCTTTCAAAAATCCCTTGCAAAAAGTGTGACGAAATGCACACGCGCGCGTCGTCGCGCGCGCATGCCGAAATCCTCCCAAAACTTCTGGCCCCGTAAATTTTCCAACAACATCGAGTGCCCAAAAAATATACAAGTACACCGGGTTTTGAAATTTCATCATTTTTCCAGGCGCGAAA